TTTAAAGCGTCTTTTATTGACTTTTTGGGGTACTGCAGTTTTTCGCCGTTTCACGGTCGCACGCAATCTGTAAACTGGGCATGTTGGGTATCGTTTTACTCGTTGTAACCTCATCTTTTATATTTCATTAAAAAAATGGGTAATTTGTTGTGTTTTGGGGCATTTAATTAAATTTGTCACTAAATTTTGGGGTTTAATAAGGAGTTGCGCTAATATTGCGCAACATAAAAATTTTCAACTACCACCATTTTATTCTATAGGGTCTTGGCATTCAGAAAATATATAATGTTGGGGGGTTTTACGTAATTTTCAGGCCTAAAATGTGGAATATAACATGGGTGCAAAAAATGAAAAAAGGGCCTCAGTCATGAAGGGGTTAAACTATTTATTTTTTTAAAATGTCAAGGCTATCTGTCAGTAAGAGTCCATTCACACCAGGGCGACAGCGTTTCAGCGCGTTTGTGCATGTCTTATATGCAGATTTCACAGGCGTTTTCTGTTCATATGTAATAGCTTTTTAAGGCGCATTTTCAGCTAATTTTCAGTTGTCCAATGAAAAGCAGTCTCCGCTGCAAATACGGGCTAAAAAAAGTGCAAAAATGCGCTGATTAGAAGTCTATGCAGCAAATAGAGCTGCCACAAAAGAAGCTCTGGGACTATTTCAAACAAGCGTATTTTTCTGCACGATTCTGAGCGTTTGCGTGAACGGCCCCAATAAGAATACATGGCATTTTAATTTGCATGCGTTTCAGCCTTTAATTTGCACGAGTGATGAAACGCCCTGGTGTGAACAGGGCCTAAATGCTATATAAAAATAGCTATTTCTTTTTTTTTGTCCTGAGACAATGTACGAAAGCAAGTTCAGTAGAGTAAATAGAGTTGGTAGAACGGAAAAACCTCCTAATCTCAGAAAAAATATTGTCATTCCTTGCAATATGGGCAACTTTTATGCAGCAAAAAAGCAACCTGGCAGGATGGGCATTTGTGCTTACCAGTTGTTCAAATAAAGCAGGGGTAGGCAAATACAAAGGCCATAATTCATGCCGGTGGCTGTCAGTCTTGCAGTGCCTAATAGGATTTGTAGTTGCACGACAGCTGTACAGCTGGAGTTTGCCTATCCCTGACGTAAAGTATTGGTTAGTGTAAGTAGAAGGCTAACAAATTGCCAGTTTGGGCTTTGCATGTGCAAGCTGTGTCCTTTTTACAAAAAGCTTCCTCTAGTGGTAACCGTTAGCCACTTCAGCAGCGCATCAGGATGTAAAACCAAAGCCAAGAGATTTCAGGGTGCAGAGGGGTGCACGTTGATCGGTTCATGTAAGCTACAAGGATAGTGACGGCTATCGAATCTGGACTAAAAGTACCACTTAGCCTTTAAAATGAGTCTGTCATCCAGCAATCTGACTTCCTTTAAAAATATAATGTGGAAGTGGCCATTTCCTATGAATATGAACTAGATCAGCTTCATTGTGGCTGAGTCTACTCCATGGGAAGTATGTGGTCAATGAATAAACAAATGTCACCTTCTATCACAACCTTTAGAGATTGGTATCTTGCTTTGTGTGCGGATTCTTTTTAAATAAGCCTAATAAAGGTTACTGGTGGGTCTGAAAATCTATGACCGGAAGAATTATTCATACTAAACACTGCTTGTTGAAATACTTTATTGAACTAAAGCCAAACTTTTTTGGGGGAGCTTTAGGTCTCTTTTGGGTCACAGGAGGATATTTACTAATATCCTCCTGTAACCCATATAGCAGGCTACTGGCTACTTTGTGCAGAGCCACACTGTAACCGAGACCGATCCTGACACTATTGTCGGAATCCACCCCGTTGCCTGATTGACAGCTAGCTCTACCCCTATAGAGCCAGCTGTGCCTGCCCCCTTTACTAACTGTCCCTCCAATGAGCTCTGGAGGAACAGAGAGGGGAGGGGGGAATCCCTGAGGGGAGTGGTGACTGACAGTCACCCCTTTCTGCAGGGAGAAGCCATAAGCTGAACGATCAGCAGTTTGTGACCACTCAGTTCTCAATCTATAGAGCCGACGTGTGATAGCTGCAGTGTTGCACGCTGGATCCAAGTATTAAGAGTATATTTCACTCTCCCAATATTTCACCTTTAAAGGTGTATGAATACAATTTCTATTGCATTTGCTGTCATACATGCAGAGTGTTTGTGTAATTGATACTCAGAAAAGTGCATATTCATTGTGTTTCTAATGTCAGTCATTTATTGTAGACTTTCTTCTCTGGCAGTAATGTGAGTGCAATGGTTTCTTTGCCAAGACAACTTTTTGTTTAAACCGTTTTCTAGATTTTATATTGGCGTTGGATACCCAAGAGAACAAGTTGGTTCCAGTAGGTGACATGCATGCAGACAGCCTACAGATCACTGACAGCTCAGAAAATATTGTTCGGTAAGCATGGACAAAGTTTGACTACCATTTCCTGTATTTAAAGTGAACCTGACATACAAGGAATATGGGACTATCATTGCTGACTGACTTCTGTAAATGCCAGTTGTCTAGCTGCCAAGCGGATCCTTTGGCTTCTGTATTTGGGCCTTCAGGAAAATTTGAGAAAATCGGTTCTTATGTGCATACTTGTTTCAGGACAGTGCCTGAAAAAAGGGATTCGATGACAGTCTGGTAATTAGCATTTTCAAAAACAGAGGCCAACGATGCAGCACCCCCCATCTCCATGTTTCTTTTCTTTAAAGTGATCATTTCCATAGTTTGTGCAGGACACAGTGAAACATTCACTAGGTCCCCCTCCCCCAAAGAACGTATGTTGAAACAATTCTGCTTCCCAGCACAGAGTAGTATAGATGCAAACTAATCTTTTGATGGATGCTGTGTCGGCACATTGCACAATATCAAATCTAAACCAGAATACCAGGTACAAAAACTTTCATTAAAATATATTCCTTATTAGCCACAGAGGATACAAAGCCACTTTGTCTTCACCAAAAGAACTTTCAAAGCCAGATATTAGCATATAAATGTAACAGTGGCCATCATCGCTGTTATGCACAGAGTTGAGGGAGAGACCCAGCAGGCCCTGCCTACTACAGGCTACCTGCAGAAAAAGAGGGGGGTGGATACGAGACCAGTCACCCTGCACAAGGAGAGAGCACAGCAGTGACCGGTCTTTTTTACAGGAAGCTCCTGTAAGTTTAATGAGGTGCTAAACTCTAGTCTCAAGGCCGATGTCATGATTGGTTAATTTTCATTTTCTGTTTCCAGTATTGCTGTATTGTGCTGTACTCCAAATGCCTTTGCGATGGGCACTCTTCATCCACTGGGGAAGCTTGCACTGAAGATCAGGAATCTCAAGTCTTTAGGTTTCTCTGTAGTGCTGGTGAGATTTATTTCCTGTTTGGTTTCTTTCTTTATGTAGTATTTTTGTTTTTGAGCTTTCTCAGGCTTAGAATTGCAGAAATCTGTGTATGTGTTAGCTCTGTAACTAGCAGGAAAGGTGGCACTCCTGTATCTATTGAAGATGGGTGTGTAATCTTGAATTCATCAATGGCATACAGCATATTGCTCAGACAAAATCTCTTATGCATATGTGCACTTAATCAGAGATGCTCTGGGGGAATTTATCAAAACTGGAGCAGCTGTGCATGGCAACCAATCAGCCTCTCTCTTTCATTTTCAAATCTTAACTGAACAAACTAAAGAGAGAAGCTGATTGGTTGCCGTGCACATCTGCTCCAGTTTTGATAAATTCCCCTCTCTGTGTTTAACCCTTTCGCTGCCTGTCTGTTTACCGGTGTAAAGCCGACTCGACTCTACACTAAAAAGCACTGAAAAGCTGCCAGATCACTTCCAGAGGCCGGTAAACAGATCCCTGCCCAACAGCAACACCTTGCTTCCCAGGCTCTGCCTCCCCTTCTGCGTGCCCAGGGCCAGCTTTGCAGGTGTTGCGGGAAGCAGGGTCTAATAGACCCCTATTGTCACTTTAAAAGCGTACCTGTCACCTTCATTGTGCTTTCCTATAAGGGGCTTCTGTTTAAAAAAAAAAAAAAGTTAAATAAAATTAATTTAAAATCACCCAAATAAATCTTTAAGGTCCCTCGGCCCCACGAACATGCACACACTAACAGCCATGTGTCAGGTGCACCTACGTACAAAAACAACGATTGCGTCACAGGTTAGGTATCACTGTGTGCGCTAGATTGAGCGCAAAAATTCTAGGGCCAATATTCACAGTTAACGCTAAACTGATGACCTGCACAGGCTTTTAAAGGATTGCCTGTGGAAAATATATGGTACTGTATTTTTTTGCCGTTTCACAGGCGCACGCAATTTTAAGGCCTAAAATGTGGATTATAGCATGGTTGCATAAAACGCTGTGGCTACTTTTTTTGTGCACCGCATTGTTTTGCAGACGCACAGCACACAATTGTCGAGGTGCATCGGTGTGCCATTAAAATGAATGTCAATGCAACACACCTTGTGTGCGCTAAACACATGGTAACATGCGCTTAGCACAATGCTGTAGTGTGACTAGACCACTACAATAGTGTCAGGAAATGCGTTTCATCCAGCTACAGTAGTCATTTTTTTACATTTGTATTTCATAGCGCAGCCAAAGGATTGAACAAGAATATAATTGCTTTGTACATGGCAACCAATCCACTTTAATAAGGCAGTACATGGCCTGCTGATCTGATCTGTCTGAAAGAAAAACAAAGGATTTGTAGTGTGCCACTGCCTGTCCTGCCCACAAACCATTTCTTCTGGTAGCGTTTGTGGTTGATTCTTTTACGATCTGCTTTGCAGGTCCCCATGCACAGGATGATGAGAATGACTGAAGAGAAGAGAGTGGAATTCATGAAGACAATTATCTTCGAAGAATTATCTGACGATCCAAATGCATTGGAGTGCAGATGGGCCAAGGAGGAGTTGCAGCAAAGCCCCCAAGACACATAAAGGGTTATTTTCAGCAGAGTTTTACGGACTGGAATGTGTTTTTATTTATGTCATCTACACTGAGACGGTTGTCAATCAGAACGGACACAATAATAATAAACGTGTTTTACAAGGATTTTTTAATGTAACTGCGGTTTGGTATGCATTTTTTAAAAAATGTTTTTGGCTCATTCACAGTAGCCCGCCCACTCAATGCTCCGATTTAGCGAGCGGCTAGTGCATCGTGGCGCTCCAACAGTGTATCACGCAGTGCCAGAGCTGTGTGTCATCTTTTTTTAATTTAATTCATCAGTAGTGTATAATATGTACATGCCATTTCAGGGCAGCGGGCTGGGTTACTGTGTGGTGGCATCCAGTGTGCTATAAAAAAAAAAAAAGCAGCATGTCTGCATTTTTTTGCAGCACACCATCCATCACACCCTGTGGTGTGCACAGGGTACATAGAAAAGCATTGTTTTCTATGTGCCTTAGCGATGGTTTGCATTTTTCCTGTGCAGGCTAAAGTGTTGTTTTTTGGTCCAGTGATTTAGCACCAAAAGCAAGAGTTATTACTGTGTTAACTTGCACTTCCTGAGCCTAAACCTTATCTAAACCAATAAACCAACACACAGTACCTTTATCCAAACCCCAAAACTCAATGCTGATATTTAATCTGATTCAATATTTTGCGTTCCGTGGTTCCACCTTCATCATTATGCTAAAAAAAATGCAAATATAAACCTTACCATTTTCATTACGTACCTTATTTTAGACCCAATGATGTCATCATTGCGTCTCTGTGCTTCTCTATGCAATGTAGGAGGGCCAGCAAGGTGCCGTACATGGATTCCTGAAAACATCACATTACCCTGCCTCGGTACTCCTCAAGAGCTCTTAAACTTAATGAAAAATACATTGATGGTTGGATGCCAGTCTGATGGAGTGGAAGTGGATGTATTTGCCGACTGCCCTAGGTAAAGCGCGAATGTAATGCTGAGACTTTATGATTGAAAGAACTGAAATTCAATAAATAAGCTAGCCAGGGATTGTTGGGCTGGGAGAAAAGTCTAGATGATGCTGGATGTCCTCCATCCAGGTAATGAGGCAGGCTCTGTGTGACTTGCTGAGAAGCTTGCAGTAGGCAGTGAAATCAGAGTAAGCAATTTCAGTACAGGAGAGAAGACTTACAACTGTGCCAGACTGAAGGTAAAGCTGGGCACACTTAACCCTTAAAATGTATTCTAGCAAATTCCTTTTTTTTTGGTTTCAGGTAGAGCCAGGAAGGATTGAAATGTGTCCCGTTTTTCCTTTTCTCGTGGACTTACCAGATTGTCTACGAGAGAAAATCACTACAAAGTGAGGGGAATTCCTTTCCCAGTTTGTCACCACAACAGGTCTCCCCATTGGAAGTGCATCTGTAAGATTTTGTATTTGCCATCGCTTTGTCCCAGTTAATATGGCCACCAGGACAATGGGGGTGAATCTACCCAGCGGGGGCACAGTGCAGTAATAAAACAAATGAAAGGTTTTGGCTACTAAAGCTCAACTGTGAGCACGCTAGCTTCCTTCATCCCCACTGATGCAGCACATATCAGGTCTTTGTTCTCTTCTGTTAGTGGGCAGATCCTAAATGTTGCAGAGGGCAGTATCACAATGATGACGGTGGTTTGACTTCCTGGGCTGACAGTAAAGCTGGCCACACCTATAGATTATCTGCAGGTGGAAAAAGTGAAACGGATTCCTCCAGCTACACTAAACTGTGTGGATGGAGGAATCTCCCGCTGGGCCAAGCTTCAGTATATAACTATTTGGCCCCGCTGGCTGTCAAAATACCTGAACAATCTGATTGGATGCAGACGCGTTGTTCAGGTGTTTGGACAGCCAGTGGGGCCGACTAGCAAGATACTGAAGCTTGGCCCAGTGGGAGATTCCTCCATCCACACAGTTTAGCATAGATGGAGGAATCTGTTTCACTTTTTCCATAGACAATGTGCAGAAGATCTATAGGTGTATGGCCAGCTTAAGTCAATTGAATGAAGCTGGATGTTATTTAAGCTGGAAGATGAGCAGTCCTGAATCCCTGAGTAAATTAATTTGCGGGGACAGCGCTCGGGAGGAAAGTATAGCAGCCAAAATTGCTTTTTTAATTTTACTGGCTGCTCGTGGATCCATTTTTACAATATTTGCCCAAACTGGGATTTTGCTTTAAATTGTAAATACTAAAGTCAGGTGTCATCTTACTTGAATATCGGTTTGCTTTTAGTTCTACCAGATCTGTGCAGTAATCCAGCGTAAAGCTTTGTCTCTGTACAGGAGCTTCTTTAATTTAAAACAAAAACAAATCACTGTTGTTCTCTCTGCTTGTGCAGGGTGACTGGTCTTGTATCCGCCCCCCCCAGTAGTTTTCTGCAGGCAGCCTATAGTGGATGGAGCCTTCTGGGTCCTCAGCGCTCCTCTCTACACAGGCTATGTATAGCACAAGGATGATGTTGCTGCTACTTTAGCAAGGTAATATCTGGAGTTACAAAGGCATTTGGTGCATATAATGTGGATGGAAAATGGAAATTTTTATGCCTGATATCCAGCTTTACCTTTCATCCTAAACGTTAACCTAACAGTTATTGATGCCAACATCATCTGATCCATGTGTTATGTGATTAATAATAATTCTAGGACATGAGTATTGTGAAGTTTCTGAGCAACATTAGAAGAGGAACCTATTCTTCCAAGTGTGTGAGGTTGCAGACTGGTCTGTATAAAAGGAAAGTAAGGGCCCATTTACACTAATGCATTGTAGTAACCTGCATTACTCCTTTGCAGTGCCATTTATTTTGAATGGAATCCCAAAGCACTAAGGCAATGCACTTGCCTTTCAGTGCGCTGCAATGCATGGTAGTGCGGTGCATTGTATAGACAAAAAAAAAAGGGTCACGTCCGATTTTCGGCAAACAAGGTGTATTGGCAGTCATTAGAAGTAATGAAGCCATAGTATGTATCTCACCATTGTCACCAAAACTTCAATTCCTTTTGCAAGTGATGCCTAAAAGTTTTCTTTTATCTTAGTGTAGACTTCTGAGAAAATCAGTCAGCCAATCACAGAAGCAGGAAGTGACATTTTGTGGGCCGTTCTGTGTACAGAACTCCTCCAGGTCACCATATTGCATTGACTTGTTTTTGACAGCTTTAGAAAATTACAACGGCTGCAGTTTTAAAGAACTCCAGTTTGTTTTCATATTAACCCTTGCTGTGGGGTTACCCGTGCACTGCAACGGTACATGCTCCTTTAGTTCCAGGAGTGGAAATAAAAAAGATACACTCACCTGATCCACGGTCCTGCAGCAGTGACCCCTCACCTCTCTCTCCCTCCGCTCCATCTGTGGTATGTCCCTTGGTGTCGTCCTGTCTAAAGGACCTGCATTAAACGTGATGACTTCATGGGTCCATCAACCGCCGCAGCCAAGGGGGAAAGAGGCTCTGTGGACCGCTCTAGCAGCCAGGCGGGACCGAGAATCCTTTGAGTTTTTTAAAATTATATAATTTTCACCGCTAGACCAAAACAAGCACTTAACACTAAGAGTGCCGGGGTAGCCCCACTGCAAGGGTTCATTTGACAAATGCTATTCTTTTTTAAATAGGGCATTTTTCATAACATTAAAGTGGACCCTTACCAACAAATAATCTAATTCTACCAATGCATCCCTGCCATGTATGATGATTAATAATAACATAGACGTGTTAGGTGTAAAATGCTGTGATGATAAAATACTTACACTTGCAGAGCATTCACTGCCTGCTTTGAAAGGGCAAAATGACTTCAGTTTGCTAAAGCAATAGACACTGGGATTGCTTTTGTCATCAGCAGAGCATTGCTGGGAAATCTCATCTGAGATCTCAGGGAAAGGCATTATCTGAGATGATGTGCATGGTCACATGTGGCAGAAATCCAGGAAGTAATAGGAGATCTGGTAATCTGCCCTTAGTAAACATGGCCACTGTCAGAAGACTGGGGGGGGGGGGGGGGGAGGCAAAAAGGGGGGGG